TTTTTTTGATTCGTTTCTATGGTTTCCTCCGTAACGTATTGCCAGTAATCAATTTACTAACGCGTATTAATTGCATGTACAGAGAACCGTATACAGTAGGCCCTCCTGTAATGCGGTACTTTCAGAACGCTTCTAACGGTTAGGTAGGCGTCTAACGTTATCTCCTGATTTATTGTTTCGAAATAATTTTGAGTTTTTTTATAACGAATTTCCATATATTGTGTTAAGAATTAATCTAATTTAGTCTAACTAGAGGTTCTTTTAACGCGATACGAATTAATCGAGTTATAGGAGGGTCGGCTGTATTAGAATTAAAAAAGTGTAAAGGTTTCCACTTCAGCGAATAAAAACTGACGAACGATTCGATTAACAAGCTACGTATTCTCATAATAAAACAACGAAGCGCGCCTGCAATTTGAAAGAACCCTTTCCTACGTTCAACTTGTATTCTACCGAGATGTTTTGCGTACCGGGAAGACACTAAGAGATTATCAAATTACGCGCGGTGTTCCAAATTTGTATACTTAAGTTTTATGTTTCAGACGTGGAAACGTTTGCTCGTTTCTTTTCACATCGAACAGAACGATATTAGTTTACAAGGAATTAATGGCACGAAATGTTTGTGGTCCGCAAGATGGACTGAAGGCACACCTTATCTATCCGTATCAACATATTACATATCGCATCATTCAGAAATTAGTAAATTTACCGATAATTCCTAAACGCTACATTGTCCCGTGCTGGTTTGATTTCGTTATTATTCTTCCATATTCGATGCTCTCGCGTTCTGTTCAAGTTCTGACGTCTCGCAAACGTCTCTGTATCGTTCTTTGATCATCACGCTTTTGATTTGAAACCGTTGAACGCTTTTGATTCGTTTAAAGCACGATCCGTCTATCTTTTGATTAATAACAAAGCTGTCTATCGCTTCTTCCTTCTCTCTCCTCCTCCACCGTTTCCGTTCCCGTCCTTACCCATCCCCCTTCCCATCCATTAACCCTCCTCGTTTCCGCCCCCCCCCCAGCAGTTCGCTTTCGATCCGCTCATCTAAATCCTACGGGCTTCATCGCATTGCACTGAAAACTCGTCGATTTTGCAATCCGTCGACGCGCACTCGTATGATGAGACAGTTTCATTATTGAAAGACACCGTACAAACACGAACACACAGTAT